AATTTTGCGACGTAATACAGTATATATATAACATCATTCTCTTTGAAAAGCTTCAAACTCTTTTCTCTTTTGAACTTCACACGTCAGTTGAGCACATACGAAGTGCATGGTTAAGAAACGTGGCAAAGACGGTCCTGTGGCCGCCTAGGGCCAAATGTTAGAAATTATATTAGAAAAAGAAAAATGCAGAGGTATAGAGGATTCGACAGGAAATGATCAAGCGTATGATCTTGTAAGATCGTATAAAAAAAAGGCTAAAAAATGTAATTCTGGCATGACATCTATTTTGCTTATAAAAGCCGTTCTACCCACGGAAAATTTTTCAAATAAAATCGCGGGTGTTTTTGTCTCACCGGGGTTTCTCTGTACGACACCGCGGTGTCATTCCGAAAAACGCGGTTTGACTCATCGCGGTAAAGACAAACTGCGATTTCTTTGATTCAAAATTGGTGAACCAAACCAACTTGTATCATCCGGCTTAATAGTCGCCTTCTTTGCATAATACTTCCATGCTTTTCTATAGTCACGTTTCTCCATGCAAAACTTTCCTAGTATGCTATAAATATGAGCAACGTAGCAGAGATTCTTTCCCGCAGATATCTGTGTGAGTAATAATCGATAAAACGTTTTTCCTCAATTCCATTCCCCCATTTCAATCATCAACTTCCCCAAAGTGAACAAATCATCTCTTTCACGTATTTTTCGTGTGATGTCATTCCTCAACGCTCTTAGCCGTTCGTCTTCAGCACCTGTGAATTGCAGAATAACACTCCATATACCATTGCTGAACTGCACCACTGATTTGATTCAAAACACTGATCCCATTGAAAAGGGAACTTCATTTTCTGTCTTGGCACAGCTGCACTGTTGGATATTCGCAAACGGATTCGCTTTTATTGTCACATCTATTTCTATTTCGAAGAGAATGGCAGCATGCCCTGTGTGATTTGAAGAAGCAAATGACAATGCGGTTCTTTTGCGGGTACTCGTTGACAAAAATTCGCTAATGGACAAAAGACCACCGACATTCCTTTTCAATTTTTGATGCAACTGTTCCGCTAACATTTCTTGTCCACGGTACAGAACTATGGAATGGTTGATCGATTGAGCATGCAATTCTGCTAATTGATAATGAAGATGCTTAATGAAAAATCGAAGCTTATAGAGAACATCGATATTCGTGTGTTGGGTACTAGCTTCGTGCAAGGATTGATTTTGTGTTTTGATAGTTTAAGTTTCAGAATGATATAATGGGAATTTATATTCTCGATTTCGTTCTGGTTCAAGATTACAGGCTTAAACCAAAACCAACATCGATATCTTGAAGTCTCAGGGCTTTGTTCATCATCTTGTAGAGGAAACATTCTTCTGTGTACCACCAGACTGATTTATCATGAGAATACTCTTGATCAAATTCATCAACCACTTCTATTTCACTCTTGTCGTCTTTGCATTGCTCTCGACAAAATTCGACCATTTCTCGTTTTGCATCATCGCCATGCTCCATGGAGCATCGGTATGCATACCGATAAGAACGTCGCGAAATAATAGCGAGTACATGAATGATGCTTCTTGTTTATTTAAATTGCTGTCACTCTCACTGTTCGGAGAAATCGCAGTCATTGTTATCGAATCCTTTGAGCATTGTTGATCAAACTGACGCAATTGTTCAAAAATCGGATCAACTTCATCGAAAACGTCTTTCACTTCGTTTTTATATTGTCAGATCCACTGTTCATATTCGGCCCTATTTGAATAGACAACGTAAATCGATTCCAATTGTGACATTTGATAGATTAGAGGAAGGATTTGTTGACACAGTGAACCCGAAACGATCAAACGTATTTTCTCATGTTTGGCATCGGTCATAAATTCGATACATGCCTTCATATTATCAAATGTTTCTACCGATCTAAATGTACTATGGAACTCCTCTTTGAATTTATGATTATCGTCTTCCTTGTCGAGTTTCTCATCAAGCCAGACGGCTACAAGATTTTCCAGATTTGGACTCTTACTCGCAGCTGCCATAGTTTTTGTTGCAGTTGTTTTGATTTTTGACTTTGTCGATGCTTGTTTTAATTTCTTTGGTTATGGGCCATTGCCTTCGTATTGACTAAACATAAAAATATATATGCGCTAAAATAACGCCTTCAAAAACGAAATTATCAAAAATGATAATATCTGGTTAATGCTGGTTTTATTAAAGTAAATCAGTAATCTCATGTGGTTTTATACTTTTAAAAAAAGACAGCATAGAAAAAATTCAAGAAAGACGACAATCTGCTTCTTTTTCCTTATTTGGCACATAACATTTATCTCAGAAAGTATCTTTTTCTAAAATATAGCTCGGCGGAAAATACAACTTGGGTACTTGAAACCGGCATAAAAATCAGAGAGGGATAATTCTGGACAATTTTATTTTAGATCTATGTAGATAGATATAAAAGGCAAGAAAGTAAGAGAAGAATAAGTTTAATATTTTCATAGAATTATTCGTTAATCATCGATATTGAGAGTCAAATATCTCACTAAAAGGGGCCTTTCTCTAGAAAATACATCAGTATACAGTACAACTTGCGTACTTCAAACTAGTATAAGAAGTGGAAATGGACCCTTTCTAGTTAATTCAATTTTAATATGAGAAGTTAGTATAATCGGATAAATACTGCTTCTTTTGGACATATAATGAATAAATATGGGCGTGGCCAGTCGCCATGAAACCCCGATTTGTTTTGTTCATGTAACACCAACCAAATATGATGAAATGATGATTTTTTTTACTACTGATAGTACATATATAGTGCTAATGATCTGTTATTATTTCACCTGTATATCTCACCACACAGGAGGCTTGTCAAGGGATGTTTTGTCATCGTTTTGTTAAACATGCTTTACACCC